CGCCCAGCTCTATGAGATGACCAAGCATATAGCCTTTTTTTTTTTTTATTCTATTTCACATAGAGAGGGTGAAGCTGTCGCTCTCCCATTAGGATAAAAAAAAATCTATCAAACAACGACGTCTGGATAATATTAATGCCACAACCTCACAAAGAAATGAGATTATGCAGAATAATGAACTATGTAATTAAACAACTCAAGATCCCTACAAAAATACCGGGTTAATGAAGCAGAAAATACTTTCTGCAGATAAAAAAACTTTACAGCTGTTTGTTCTGTAGAGCTCACTGTTATGGTCGACAAGAGAACAGATCCCATCGACCTTGTGCGCAATGGTTAGATTTCAAAATTTATGCACCCACAGCAGAAATTACAAATTTTRCTTAAATGACCCTTTTCAAATGTAAACACTTAGGACTTGTCAAAAACATTTTTTTCTGTATCATTAAATATCTGTCTGTTTGATTTAAAATCTGTGTCATCAGTTTAACAAAATACTMTCAAAATCTTTATTTGTCATATTTGCTCAGATACCTTAAACACCAAAGGAACTGAGACACATCTCTAGTTATAGCATGTTGATTATGTAAATTACCTTAATTTTTCCTAAAGCTTTTTTTCCTTATAAGAAACACGAAAAAAAAAAAAAAAGAAAAACCCGGCTGCTGTTGATACGGCCTACTAGGAGTCTGGTTTGTTGATGATATAAAGTGACAGTGTTAAGTGTGTACTTGGCTCTCAATGGCCTGTCTGTTAAAATAAAGGAAGAAAAACTGTCCGCCTCTGACACTAATGCATTCAATGAGACAAAATCAATTCATTCACTTTAGACAGACAGATGTACTCGCACACGAGCGCAGATTTATGTACTCACATGTTTGAAGCTGTAGCAGATGCTCTTATGCGTTGGTTTATACCTCCTCATACTGAAAGACTMGTGGATTTAAGTCCAAAAGTAAGTCAGCATCAAACTAATTTGACTGACTACCTTCACAATTATGTATAACTTTTCTTTTATGCCCTCAGTACATTTTCTAAATCTTGTTTAGCCATCTGCAGGAATAAACAACGTTAGGAAGAAGCAGTGGATTCTTGTGTGGAAGAAAATAATGCAATTTAATCAAAAGGTGCTTGTTGGATAGTCAAAGGACGGCTGTTCGTCAGCAGAAAGAGAGGCAGGGGTCTTTACAATCTTTGAGAATAATGACAATCAAGTCCGATTCATATGGGGACAAGTCAGGTGATTGATAAAAGAAAAAAAGTGCCCCAGGTTTAATCACCTCATGTGTACATCTGCAATAACATGATAGGCTCACTGGAGACCATCTCACATGTGCAACTTTGTCCACACAATGAACCATTACTGCATCTTAGATGCCAAAAAAAACCACTCAGTGTACTACTACTACTACTGTACTACTGTTAGATAGTATTGTAGTCAAGACCACCTAACCCGGGACCAACCAAGTCAAGAAAATATGTAAACTAGTTCCTTAAAACATACAGTATACTGTACACAGTTAGCTAACTTAATATGTAGAGCTAATATTGACTAAATCTCTTTTTGGGAGGGCTGGGTAAAGAATTTGATACAGATTGCTAACAATACTGTAGCTAGCTAGTTTTGCTAACATGACTTACACAGTCTACCTTTCTTTGGCCTTTCTTTCTAAGTGACGGTAAAAGTTTGATGTAGTCCCCAACATGCTTTCTCCTGAATGTTGTTTTACAAATAAATTCATTGTGATTTAAGTAGCCAAATTGTATTATTGAGGATTTTGCAGATATCTTCTCRRGCTACCAMATAGCCACTGCTAACTTTCTTGGGAGTGCTGTGTATGAATGAAAGAGGGTGGGTGACAGCGGTAACAAAATACATAATCAGAAACGAGTCACYTTCGGATTTGAATCAGTTTGTTTTACATCCAATGAAAGCAAAGATGTTAAACAAAATGGACAATATTCTGTCAACTTWGTGATATTTCCATAGTTGTGGTCATGAAATAAAATCCCAAGTACTCTGAGTACGTCTGAGACCACGACAAGACTGACATGACACCATCAAAAAGTGGGCTTGAGACCAAGATCGGTCTRGAGTACTACAACACTGCTGTCAGATGATATTGGCCTGTTTGTAAATTATGTAAATCCTAAAGAAAGTCTGTTATCTTGTGTTTTTATTAAAAAATCTAGTCCCTTGAAAAAGGATAACTGGTTTAAATCCAATGTCCTCAARATTAGGATGCAGGATCTCTGAAGATTATATCTTCAGCTCCATTTTTGTTGTTGTTGACAGTGAATGTGAYTAAGTTTAGAATTCATGTTTCAGAAGTTTTCTTGCTTTCTCACACCTAATTTAAATATGCTAGTCATTAACAGGCCCATGCTGACCTTGAAAACATGCTGAGGAGGTTATACGATCATTTGAATGAGATGCAGTGAAGCAAGAAAACATCTAAAACATGCTGGAACATGAGCCCCAAATTCCAAGACTGAGGAGCTCTGAGTTATGATGCATCCTGTAATAAAAAGTAAAAAGCTGCGTGCACCATTCAGTAAAAAAACAGCAATGTTGTTACTCTTCAATTTCTGCAACGCTGGCATGCTATTTTAAAAAAAATAATGAACACAGTTGAAAGCTGCATGTGTTTAGTTGGTACGAACAAGTAAAGTATGTACTGGCAAAATAACAGAAGTGTCCTTTTTAACAAGAGGATCTAAGTTCTGTGTAAAAAGGTCTGTATTCAAAATGAAAGATACAGGAGACAAGATTGAAATAAATGTAATGAATGAAAATTTTATAAAGCGATCATGGTTTAAGGGTCAATGTATCACTGAAATGACAAAACTTATGGGTCTTTTGGTCAGCAGTAACTCGTGTTTTGTTCCACAGTACCACTGTTCTTTGAGTGTTGTGTGTTATGATAAGAATGGTAATCTTAACCATCTGCTGCTTGGGTTTCAGACTTTAGCAGTGACATGCTGATATTTACTGTAAAGTCTCAGGATTATGCAGGTTTATACGTTACACTCTAATTAGGGATGCACGATATGTCGGCATTAACATCGGTATCGGCCAATATTGGTCGTTTTTTTAGAATAACGGTATCAGTCCGATTTGTAAAACTGGGCTGATATTAACGTCTGATAATTTCCCACTTTTTAGCTTTGTGTTTCTGCTTTGGGAGGGGTAATGTTTGGATGAGTGGTATCTGTTTGATCATGATAGTGATAGTGACGRTGCACAGCCAGGATAAATGAAGTAGAGAGCCATGTCAGCAGTCTGGTCGTTTTTTTTTTTACGGTATCAAAAAAAGACAGAAGTGTATTTGTGCTTGTGTAATATTGGTAAAATTCAGATATATGCCTTTACACAAAAAATATCGGGTATCGATATCGACTGGAATTTTCATATCGGTGCATCTCTAACACTAATCATCACAAGTTAAAATGACATCACAGTTTCAACAAATAAACATTGTTTCGCATCTTTACTGACAATATTTAGCCTTGACTTTGTGCAATTACTTCATAAAATTGTTTAACATTAGTTTTCAGAGTGAAGAATGGCTGAAAAAAGCTCTGCACAGCTTTAAGGGTTTTCTTAAGGTCAGGACAAAGACCGTTCAGAGACCACTCAAGCCATATCTCAATCATTCCTCTCAGACTCTATGTATGTGCCCTCTGCAGCAAATTAGCCTCTGAATAATTAAGCTAATTAGGCTTAGACAGACAATAGCTAAATGTTAATTAGTGCTTAATTAAGAGAAATGAATCCGCAGCTGTATTTGTTTCCTGCAAAGTGCAGAGGCTATAAAACAACTACCAACAACAACTAAAGCTGATGGGACTGACAGCGTGTTGTGAATACGTTACTGGTGTATAACTTGTTTTACGTGTTCAGGAGATAATAAGGGACGATGACTTTTGCTTACCAACACTATTTAATTTAATAATTAAATTAACATGTATCATGCATCAAACATTAGAGAATGCTTTACATATTTTCTGTGTTTTAATCCACTCCCTTAGATATATAGATATTAGCCAAATGTTAAAAATTTTCCAGTAATAACTGTGATGTGTTTTATGTCATACAAAATAATCTGCTTGTAAACATGAAACCAGTTCAGATGTCTGTTTTGTAGCACTTACTTCTTTCTAATATAATGATAATATAACACGTTTGCAATCCTGGTAATACTGAAGACCTATTTTTCGAGAAGCATTGTTACTGTGTAAAATAAATAAATAAATAAAAAAGCGAGCTGGTGTGTTGCTGCTGCTTGTGACTTGCACTCAAAGAAAATGCTAAATAGTCCTGTAGTGTCAAAAAAAATGCCTGTATGGCAGTGATGAGCACTATTGTGCATCATTACATCGTGTTTTTGATAACTTTGAAAATATTGCTGAAATATATTGCTTGTTTGAAATTCTGTCGAGTTAATTGCTACTTACGTTGTACGTCTCCAGCTTGACTCTGTTTTTAAAGATGTGAGTTGTGAAGCTGGCTTTGTGGAAGACTTGATCGAATGCTGCCTCATCCTTGGGAACAAACACAACTATTACAAGGTGAACACAAAAAAACAASTTTCAAAAAGAAGCAGATACTCCTTGGACACTTCTGGTCAAACTGTCGAGGAGAAATGTGTGAGAGTCTCACTGTTTCTCTGAGTTGTCCCAGCTCCTCTGCACTGTGACCCAGCAGGACCTCGGCTGTCTCCTGGAAGCACGTCACCCACTGGTTATCCCAGTAGTCGGCTAAGTTGGCCTGAGAGTTAGACAGCCAGAGAAAAGGAAGGGTCAAGAGATTATTTCTCTAAGTCTGACTCTGTGTGTATGTGATGACTGCAGAAATCACTACACGTCTTAACAAGCATTAATYTTCACTGTGTGTTGAACTCACAGAAAGCAAAAGTCTGTATTTGAAGTTCGGGAACTCGCGGTTACACTTTTCACAGCGATACAAGCCGTTCTGTTGGTCTATGACCTTCTTGTTGCAGTCTGAAGATGGACACGCCTGATACAGACAGCTTTCCTTTCGAATGTACACCACTGTTGCCACGCAGCTGAAGTAGTCAGCCTGAAATGAGAAAAGAATAAATATAAATAAGGGGGACAGAAGTCGAATTAAAAAAAGCAATAAAGACAGCATGTAATTTGCAAACATTGCCCTCCCCCCCTCGTCACATGGTTCTGCGCAGAGGGGGTGAAAAGAAACGTGGTAAATTAAAAATACAAGACAAACAGTGGAAGGAAGAGGGAAATAGGATCTCAGCTTCAGATCATTTATTTTTCCTTGTTTATGTCTTAGCTGGATGCTAGCAGGGCTGGCAGATGTTAAAACATGAAAAATATCTGTAGCGGTCCATGTGACTGGCTTCTAATTGACTTGTTTCATTAAAATTTCACAACATACCCAGTGGATTTTCTTTTTGAGAAGCTTAGGCTTCTGTAAAACGGAGTTTGCATGTTTTCAGCTGCATCTTCAATGAGAGAGAAAACCGAATACATTAAAACACAGACCATTTTATACACATAGAAAATCTGCTTGTTTAAGACCGTAATAGTATAATAATTACACTAATATCCTGATACATCTCAGTAATCCAGGTAGAAAAATTCAAAAAGAAAAAAATAAGTAGGTCCTCTGGATGGGTTCTTCTTTAGTGAAACGTTTCGTCTCTCCTCCAAGAGACTTCTTCAGTCTGAGAGTTTCAGGTGAACTCAGCCTTATAAGCACTGCCTCCACATGGTGGACAAACAGGTTAGTCACATGCAAAAGAGGGCCATCGCCTAACAATAGGCTTGATTAGTTCTATTGTTCATAGTGTCATGTGCCCCATCACCTGACCCGTGTCGTGTTATGTGTATGTAGTGAATGGAAGCGGGGCTCCAGCGGCCTCTTTTGCATGTGACTAACCTGTTTGTCCATGTGGAGGCAGTGCTTATAAGGCTGAGTTCACCTGAAACTCATCAGACTGAAGAAGTCTCTTGGAGGAGAGACGAAACGTTTCACTAAAGAAGAACCCATCCAGAGGACCCATTTATTTTTTTCTTTCTGAATTACACTAATACAGTTTACATACTACACTGTACTAGGGTGCTTATTTATCAAGGAAAACCAAGTAAACGCAGTACACACTAATGCTTTTGGACCATGTTCAGTTTTATAAATTCTAAAAAGACATTTTGTGTTTGCCAAAACAGGAAGTGAATGAACTTTGCCTGGACTGAATCAAAGCATCACAGGCAGAAACATTCAAGGTGTTCACTGAATGTAGCGGAACAAGATATCTCATCAAAACGTTTGTTATGTAGGAGGCAACATCTTGCTTGATGAAAAAGATGGCAGGTGGCAGAGGGCTCAAGAACACAGTGAGTAATAGTTTGTCCACAGCAAAGTAAAAACCAGAAAGCAGGAGCAGGCTATGATGTCAGCTTTAGTGCCGAGAAATGCTTTCCTATTGTGAAAAGAAAGCAACGCTGAAAAGAACGAGTTGTTCTACTAATGATAATTTAAAGATAAAAATTGCATTGACACAGTTGTGTGACATCAATTTTATTGAGTGGACAAACACAGCGACACTTGAAATAACTACCGTATTTATTCATGTATGATACAATCTCATGGATAATACGACCCCCCCTTTGTTGAGCTTAAAAAGCATAAAAATTTAATCCTCAAACTACCTCCAATTTCATTCAGACTTCCAAGATTTTTCAGCCTTTGCACTCTTTAGACATATCAGTAAAATGATCATTGGACTGTTCATTTTATTTTAACAACATATGTACTAAAAGGTATTTTGACAACAAATATACACTCACCGGCCACTTTATTAGGTACACCATGCTAGTAACGGTTTTGTGGTCATAAAGGGATGGACATGGTCAGCAACAATACTCAGGTAGGCTGTGGCATTGCAACGATGCTCAATTGGTACCAAGGGGCCCAAAGAGTGCCAAGAAAAGATTCCCCACACCATGACACACCACCACCAGCCTGAACCGTTGATACAAGGCAGGATGGATCCATGCTTTCATGTTGTTGACGCCAAATTCTGACCCTACCATCCGAATGTCGCAGCAGAAATCGAGACTCATCAGACCAGGCAACGTTTTTCCAATCTTCTCTTGTCCAATTTCGATGAGCTTGTGCAAATTGTAGCCTCAGTTTCCTGTTCTTAGCTGAAAGGAGTGGCACCCGGTGTGGTCTTCTGCTGCTGAAGCCCATCTGCCTCAAAGTTCGATGTACTGTGCGTTCAGAGATGCTCTTCTGCCTACCTTGGTTGTAACGGGTGGTTATTTGAGTCACTGTTGCCTTTCTATCAGCTCGAACCAGTCTGCCCATTCTCCTCTGACCTCTGGCATCAACAAGGCATTTCCGCCCACAGGACTGCCGCTCACTGGATGTTTTTTATTTTTCGGACCATTCTCTGTAAACCCTAGAGATGGTTGTGCGTGAAAATCCCAGTAGATCAGCAGTTTCTGAAATACTCAGACCAGCCCTTCTGGCACCAACAACCATGCCACGTTCAAAGGCACTCAAATCACCTTTCTTCCCCATACTGATGCTCGGTTTGAACTGCAGGAGATTGTCTTGACCATGTCAACATGCCTAAATGCACTGAGTTGCCGCCATGTGATTGGCTGATTAGAAATTAAGTGTTAACGAGCAGTTGGACAGGTGTACCTAATAAAGTGGCCGGTGAGTGTATATCAGCTGTAGCAGCATCATACGAATTCTGGCATTTTACACATTGTCCACCAGGAGGCGCCAACACAAAAGTCGGAGACTTCATGAGATTTGGGCCATCTTGTGGGGGAAAAGCAGATTACTTCCTACTCGCAAGCGCCCCCTCTGGTGGGGAAACATTTTTTCAGGGATACAAACTTTTTCAGAACACTGGTAGATGGCCGCCATTACAGACGAACATGTGTTTGTTGTTGTTCGAGGAGCAGCCCAGTCACACGCTAATGTCATTAGTTTGTTATCATTACTAAAGTGCAGGACTGCTTTTCCCCTCTTTTTTTCACATCATGTCGCCTGCCTGGATCTGTTATCTCGCTCTGAAGCACAGAGGAGTGTCACAGCTAAGCTTGTTTAAACTGGTTTTACGACGCGGTCTCATATCCGGACTCAATAATTTTGTGAATGAAGCAGATATTTCAGTTAAAATACACAAGTAAAAATATTTATCTGAGTATAGTACTACCCCCCAACTTTATGGATGATTTTATGGATTTAATTTTACGTATTATACTTGAATACTTATGGTAGTTTGATTTAGAATTAAAGGAAAACCCAATGTCTGTCCAAACATGAAAGTATRAATTATTTATCATTATCATCATTACAGGCATTTTTAAAGTCACATTTCAGATGTCATAAAAATAAAGCACAAATTATAGGGAAAAAAAGTTAAATAAAAAGGAGAAAATGTGGTGCTTCAAGTGAAGACAGTTAGTGAAGCTGACCAGTGTGAAAAGGAATATATTCAAATTAAAATGAAAACTAGCTTCGATCAAACTTGGAATTATATGTAAAACTATTGCCAACAAGTCTGTCCAACTGGTAGATGCATGCTGTTTACACATCTCTGTTTGACTTCCAAACAATCTTGGAACAGTTTAAAAAAGGACAGCAGAGAGAGTTAGAGCATTTTTAAAGCAGAAAAAATGTGAGATGAAATGATTTCCCCCCATTTTCTAGAGCACACTGACATCATGCGAGGTTATATATGCAAAGATCCAAACCCTAGCATATCCAGAGCAGATACAAGCTAAACTCATTCTGTTGTGAATTCAAGTAGAAGTGTACACAGGCAAACAGAGTCAAATTAAAATTCAGCGATGCTGCTGTAATTTAAACAGATATTAGCACCTTAGGCGGCAGAACTCACACTGGTAAAAATCAACAGTTAAAAAGGAAAAGAAATGCTAATTCTGGGGGTAGGGGGAGTGGGGGAGAAACTATTTCTCTCATCCTGTGGAGAAGCATGGCATTCCATTTCCATAAATATAAATATACATATAAAGAATGCACACAGAGAATGAAGAGTTTCGCTGGAAGAGACAAACCAGGGCACAAGTGCCTAAATGCAACACAAAGTCTTCAATGTGACATAAGAAACCACAAATACACACTTTTTTTTCTATTTTCACCAGAGGGCATTGCTCCTTCTAAAACAAGTCTTGAACAAGYCACTGGAATTACAGGGAGGTTTCAAACTAAATGCTTTAAAATACACACTGAGCAGAAGTACCAGCTAGAGCAGGACCAGACTCATTACTAATTGTTGGCCTAAATGAGTCTATCAAAGAGCTCTTRTAGGATGGCAGCCAAAAATCACACACTGACTGGACAATGCTGTTTCTTCATTATAAAACCCACAGTTTCTGTAAGGAGTTTATTAAAGAACATTGATCGTGAGAAGGCCATTGTGTTTCCTGCATCTGTCATGAGGTGGCTGACGCTGTGTCCACATGACATCTACACTTACTGTCAGTTCTGACACTTTGAGTGTGTTTGAGGTGCTGCAGCCTACCTTCACCACAGCCCACATAGGCCACACCCTACACATTCCAGGTAGGCTGCAGAAAACTGTGAAATGATTAGCTCCAGTATCAATACTTGTGATTTCARTGTGTGAATGCATTATAAAGCATTCAAACTATTGAGATTCATTTTCCTTTGTCGGCACGTATCTCGTTCCATAATTTTTGTGCTATTTCAACCATTTAGATATAAAAACTCAGGACATTCCAGCTGTGAATTTTGATACTTCAGTAATTCATAATTTTATTTTCACTGAAAACAAGTGGAGTCATTTTCAACTTACTTAAAACCATTGAAAAAGTTCATAAATCTTTACTGTACTTTTTACCTTGTGTTCTGGTCCTGTCTACTAATTTTAGCTTACTTCGGCTTCTATTTAGCRGATTTTGGCTGTCTTTCCGCTGTTTTAGCCATCGTTCTYACCTTTTCTGCTAATTAATTTTTTTGTGCTTCTTTCAGCTGCTTTCTGATAATTTCAGTTATTTTTTGTGTTATTAGTTACTTTTTAGCTAATTTGAGCTTTTTCAGCTAACTTCACCTTTTTGTGATAATTTCAGATTCGTACTGCCAAATTTACAAAACATGCTCTTTCTAGTTCTCTGTGCTAACTTCTACTGTTTTCTATGTTTTTAGCTACTTTATTTTTTAGCTAATTTAAACTCATTCAGCTAATTTCAACTTTTTGTGATAAATTCAGTTCCTACTGCCCAATTCAGAAAAGGTGCTCTTTCTGTTTCTCTGCACTAATTTCAGCTATTTTGGCTACATTTTTGTTTAGCTATTTTTAGGTGAGTTTCAGCTTTTTTAGCTATTCTGCAAAAATCTTTCAGCATTAAGCATTCACACTTCGTTTTCACATGAAATGCAAATTCTCTAGTTTTATTTAGTTTCTCATTGCAGCATACATTTCATCAGCTGAGTTGCGAAACAAACATTTAAAAACAGGGTTCCCACACCTTGGTCGACATTAAATTCAAGGACCTTTCAAGGACTTTCCAGTACCAATTTCCTCAAATTTAAAAACCAAGCACGATGGCAATTACCTACTGCTACTGCAGAATGTTAACGATAAACAGGTTTAATATCATGTAAAGTCAATGTTGAGTCAGAATCAATGAAAGAAAGTGGATTAAATGTACACCCTACATTCAAGTCCACAATACATGGACATGTAATTATGTCCTGAGAGGTTTGGCAGCTCACTTTGGGAGGAGGGGATGTGAACATGTCCAGACCCTCGGTGAGGACAGGAGGAGCTGTGGTGCTCTCACTGGGCTCAGAAAGAACGACCCACCCTACTCTGCTCTGATTGGCTAAAACTATGACTATGGCTCACGTTATTTGTTGAAAGCCACGTCAGTTTACCGDAATCCTGAGTTATCCACCGCAACAAATGTGTTTTATTTAATTATTATTATTATTATTATTATTATTACAGATTATGAAAATCAGTTGTGTGAATAGAGATTTTCAATCACCAAAAAACATTCAAGGACTTTCAAGGACAAGTGTAATTTTTGGTTGTTTTCACAAACAAACTTTCCAGGGTCTGAAATCCTTTTTTCAAATTCACAAACTTTCAAGGATTTCAAGGACCTGTGGGAAACCTGTAAAAATAAATTCATTGGTCTGTGATGAGTTTCCAAACTAGAAAAAAAAAAAAAAAGGACCACCTCTGCGGTCTTCGTTTTCTAGTTTAGTTTGCTGATGGTGCAACGAATCTTGGGATATTCTTGACTGGGAAGGATGCCTTCATTTCCGGGTTTTGTGGGCCGCATTCAACAACTGCATGAGGAGCAGCCCATGAATTGTGACAGCCTTCGGTGCAAGGCAGTGACGTAAGCAGCCGACAAACGTGGACTTGGAAGGGCATAGCCCTTGAATTGAGARGCAGACTTTTGCTCCCTCTGGCCAACACTGACTCACTTCCTCATAATCTGTCCACCCATGCCACACACCAAGAGCCCCTTTGAAAAACACTCAGTAGGAAGCTTTTTTCAATCATTATTAGTTTTAATTAGAAGAGCTTTTCCCGTTAGCAACAACCCTTACTGTCTCACTCACGTTTCCATCTGGGCGCCTGCCTCATCACATTTTCCAGACTGGAAGGCTGAAGATGTAGGACGGTGGTAGGTGGGTGGACGTGGTAATTGAAAAGGGGCTTCCTGATGCCACAATCAGCGTTAAATTAGAGGACAGGCAGGATCTAGACCAGGATGGTTCAATGAAAACTAAGGCAAGCTGTATTTTTACATCATCTCCCCCCCCCCCCCTTCTGCTGTGTCTTTTTCTGTATCCTAGTATGTAACACAAAAGCCTCTGGGCAAAGTCTTAACCTTAACTACACTAAGGAGAAGCAACAAGAAGAGCATAAGTAACAACACACACACACACATACAAAAGAACAAAAAGAGTCAAAAACACGCAAACACAAAACTCAGTGTGCACACCTACCGAAAGATTGACACACACATGCTTCTCTCTGAAAATAATTTTTCATTCTTATCACACCAAATCCCCYTGTCACCTTCTGGCACCTAAATGCAATTAAAATTTGTGTGTGGAAGGGCAACCAAGTGAAAATCCACTTCACATAATTGACGTGGTTTCACATGCCAACTTTAATGCTTGTCCCAAAAACCCCAACACACACACACGTTAATTAGAAATGGGTTGTACACGTATACTTTCCCCCACTTCTGTACACACCGTTACACAAAGTTAGCCACACATATAGATTGAGGCAAACAGGTAGAATGCCAAATTAGATTTCTTCAAACTATAAACTAAAAACTCAGATTCTATTACTCTAACCTGCTGCTCTGTAGCCTCAAGAGTGACAGACAGTGTTCTTCTTCTTGTTCTGTTCAATTACAAAAACAGTTGGGGGTACAAAGTCGAACGACAAAAGCAAAAAAAAAGCAAAAGATAAAGTAAAATAAAAAAATCTCTAACTTCTAAACTCTTTGTTTGCCAGTAAAGTTCCCTTGTTTGCGTGMAATTTGAACTACCTCTTGTTATTTCATTTTAAAACCTTCATTTTCTTTATTCTTTTTTGTTTGTTTTGTTTTTCCGTTTGGAATTTCTTTGGCCTTGATACAGGTTTGCAAGTGACAAAACTTCGAAAACACTGACTGGTTGTTCTCTTCTATACCTCCACCAACCCAGTAATGTTTTGCCCTATAGGCTTCCTCCGGAACATAATTAGAAATTTTCATTAGAAACAGCATTGATCTGGAAGCTATCCGTAAGCTACTTTCAATTAAATGGGAGGAAAGAGAGACTAATCTGWGATAAACCAAATTAATTAGATGGAAAGTTTAAGGAGTGGCACATACTACTTCTATGCACTACTTCTGGTTAGAAGCATTTTTGGCAACAGAACTTCCTAAAATATCACATGGTTTTAGTTTGAATCTTGTTGCAAAATCCTCCAACATTGTTCTGTTGCACAGTTAGCATAAAACTTGTTCCCTCCTACAGCTAAAACAAAAAGTTTGAATTAAGGAAGACTGATTTARGATTAATTATTGTTATAGTTTTAACAAGAAGCCTTCACTCTGCAGGGCTGATCAGAGCACACAATTAATGGATTTTAAATGGTTTTATTAGCATAATGACCAAAYTTTAGTAATAATTTGACCATTTTGTATGAAATCTGGCATTAATTTAAAGTATGTTACTTAGTACATTTACAGAAAAAGACCTTTTAGCTTTATATTTTAAAATTTTCATAAACCACAAAAAGTGTGTTAGAGCTACACATTACATTCTTACAATTAGTCATTAAAAATAAAAAATAAAAGCTTGAATCATCAGTGTCTGTGACTCAAATATACCTAAAATGTATTAATCTTAGTGTAACTGCAAACTCACAATAAAGTTCTACCTTGTTAATTCTAACCTGCTTCTTTTAAAATGTCAAACTATTTTTCGATATAAAACTAAGCATTAATGAAGCTARCATGATGTTCTATGATCTGTGTAGAGCCTCCTTAATTTCCATTCAAATGATCGCTAACTGTCCATTTGAGAGAGGAATTTTCTGGTTGATATCAATAAGCCTCCAACCAACTTTTTTATTATTATTTTGAGATCTGGATGAAAGATCAACACAAATCTAAACCAACCTCATTTCTTTATTCCCATCTAATTTCCTGGAAATCCCTTGCTGTAGACTTTTTCTTAGATAGTTCCGCGAAATCACCGCACAGGCCAGTCGGGCTTTAAGCTCTCTCGGGTCATTCATAAAATCTCAGGAGATGCCGGCCAGTTCACGCTCACATATACGTGCTCAGAAATAAACCCAGCAGTGCAGAACCAAAAGAGACGTGGAGCAGAACTCAGCTTGGATGAAGTGGACGCGATATATTTATTGTGTGACGATGTCTGCCTCGTATCGAACAAAAATAACTTACGTTAGCGATCCTGGGGTTCAATAGCTTCTAAACTAACTACAAAGTTGTTGTTTTGTGTCATCTTTAAAATTCCCTTGGTTAAAGTGTGGTTGCTCACTGATGCCATCAATTCATGATCATTTTCTAACCGCGGGTTGCTTTTACACAAGTCGGTCTGCCGGGTTCAGTCCTGGCTCTGATACTACCTCGCTTGGAGGCTCAAAGGGGCATCAGAGGCCGGCTCACTTTACTCAACTTTCCACCTTTGTGTTTTTTCTGAATGTTTGGAGGAGGAAAGAACACGCGTCAGTCCTGGGCTGAGCCGTCTTATGAATGAGGCTTGTGTGACTTGAAAGCATACAAGTCAAGCCAAAACTTAAAAGTCAAAACTTGAGGTGTGTGTCTGTGTTAAAACATGTTTCAGTCAACAACTTTTACAAGTTTTAGACAGTTGAGTGTGGTTCAAGCAAAGAGGTTTGATTTTTAATGCACATTGCATTGAATAAAATCAAATTTCAGAATATATGATCACCGGCCAATTAACTTTATTTGAGGTGAAAAATACTCTAATGTGGAATAATGGAACTACGCTGATTAGATCATTTAATCAAWTCTTTTATGTTCTTTGATTTAAACAAGTCAGACCTCTGATTTTTKTTTTTACACAAACAAACTGCTGTGRGTGCATGAGTAGACCGRACCTTCTCTCCATGTCCCATTTGTMCATTCTTAARGTCGCCGAGCATTTTCCAGTTCATCGTTGATCCKCGAATGGTTGACCTGGTTTCTGTTAGCGACTGGCTGTCGAGTGCATAACCTCCTTGATCATACCTGTGATGGACATGTTAACAAGCAACATGTGCAATTTAAAATGTGTGTAAAAACAATTACAACTCATATGATACATATTGAGAAGAAAGCAAAATTCCCTTGTCTACTGAGGTGATCAGACTATATAAGATGCAGCAGAAACTTTATTCAGTTATGGATGTTTAATGGTAAAAAGAGAAAGCATGTAAAGTAAAACTGGAATGTGTGCTGTATAAAAGTTTAGATTGGGCCTAAATAAAATATGACCTGACCCAAGCCCATAGACATTATGTCCAAGCCCAATGCAATCCGACTAATTATTTCTAATWAGAGGCCGGAGTCTGAAGAAAACCAAACATATTATTTTAATTGCTCTTTTATTGCTTTCGTTTTTTGGACCATTTGAGATTTTTAAACAAATCAGATAGAAGCAGACCTTCGTTTGGTCCTACTGAGCATGCAAATGTCCAAATGACATTCACGTCTTCTTTTCATCTTCGCCCCGCAGAAAATAAAGTTTTTCCTCGTCTAACTCCAGTTTGCAAGAAAACTACAACTGTTGCTGTTGTTGTTTTCTTGCTGAGCTGTGAGCGACACATTTAACAGCAGGAGAACAATGGGAGAAATTATGATGATTTATTCACTGCGACACTTTAGTTATTTCCAAGGAAATATTGACCTTTATTGTGGTAGTCAAGTAGGTTCTATAGAACAGCTGGAGTGCGCAAAAACCAGGTGACCGTGTGATCGGCTGGAGAAGCTAACGGCTAATGCTAAATG